ATGAGAATCAAGACTTGCCATGTAAAGGTACATGATCCCAACAATGAATGTAACTGTACTGTATCCCTAAATGTACCAATAAACTCAATAAAAAAATAAATAAATAAATAAATAAATAATAAGCAGGGTGCTGCAAAGCAGACTTCTAGAACTTTTTCATCTTGCATAATTGTAAATTTCACGTATTTTCAACAGCAATTCCCTTTTTTTGCCCCTGAAATCGCCATTTTGCTTTTATAACTTTGATTATTTTAGATACTTCATATAAGTGTAATAATGCCCTTTGTCTTTCTGGGACAGGTCAGTTTCATTTAGTAATAGGCTTCCAACTTTTATCCATATTGTAGCATAGGACAGTATTCCCTTTTTTTTATAACTGATTAATATTCCATTGTATATTGTACCTTAATTTATTTATCCTGCCATCCGCTTTCCAATTAATGTGAGTGTGAGAATACAAGTATCTCTTCAACATCCAGATTTCAGTAGCTCTGGATAAATACTCAGATGTAGGAGTGATGAATCATATGGTAACTTATTTTAAATTTTTGAAGAATGTCCACTGTGTTTTTCCTATGATGGATGTATCATTTTACATTCCCGCCAAAAGCATATGAGAGTTCCAATTTCATCACACCTTCATCAACATTATTTTCTGAGTTGATATTTCATTGAGTTGGATTTGCATTCTGATAGTGATACTAAACAGCTTTTTTAATATAAATGTTGACCAACTGCTTGTCTTCTTTAGAGAAAATTCCATTCAGGTCATTTGCCTGTTTTCCAGTTGGGATAATGCCTTCGCCAACACTATCTTGACATCACGCAGCAGACCAGGGCAAGACTTCATTTGCTGAGGATATGACAGGGTAGTTAGCATGGCACACTGGCTTGGAATTCACTGCTCTATCAACTACATCCTAACCACTCCCTTCCCCAGGAATCTCTGGGGTCGTCCTGATGTTAGGTGGAGACATGAGCCCAGTGCACAAGATTTCTATTTCAGCCAGCTTTACCTGTGGCTAGTTGTCCTGCCGCAGACCAAGAAACCACCTTCCCTAAAATAGGTAAAAGAAAGAAGAGAAAATATGAGAAGGAAAGGAGGGGAAGAGGGAAGGAAAGAAATAAGGAAGGAGGGAGGGGAAATATACAGTTTTATTTCTGAGATCTTCGCTGTGTTGCATTAATAAACACAATTTACTTTTTGCCAGTACTATACTGTTTTGATTATTGAAATTTTATAGCAAGTTTTGAATGAAGAAGTATGGGGCTGTCAGGGCTACTCTTCTGTCTGTAGACTGTTTTGGACATCAGGGTTCCCTGTCTTTCCATACAAATTTTAGAATTTTTTTATTTCTAAAAAAAATTTCATTGAAATTTTGGTAGACTGTATTGAACCTGTATACATTGTTGCATATGTAGATCTGCTACCAAATATATTGATATTTTAACAGTACTTCTAATCGATTAACACAGGATTATTTCATTTATGTTTTGTACTCTTCTGAGTAGAATTCTTTTCTCGCCTTAACAGTTTATTTCAAAGTACTTCCTACTTTTAACCTTACTGTAAAAGGTATTATTCCCTTTTTAGGTTGATACATCTCAGTAAATAGATAAGTAAGCATATAATTTTATATGTTATTCTATATCCATTCCATATCCATTTTACTAAATTCATTCTCATTCATACAAGTTTGTAGAACATGATGATTACACTCATTGTGCTGAGTTGAGGGTAACACTTGTACATTACATACATGGTGTGTGCATAACAATTTTAATTCTTTTACCATTCCCTTCCTCTCCCACCGGGGTTGGCAAATAATCTTCCTTTAAATATATGGTAGAATAAATGAGTTTGAAACCATCTTAGATTTTCCTTGTTAGGCAGTTGATTACTGTTCAAACTGCTTTAGGTGTAGGTTTATTCAGATTCAATCCTTGTAGATTGTATTTTTCTAGGAACTCACCTTTTTTTTCTAATTTATCCAGTTGTATGCCATTTAATTGTTCTCAGAAGTTCTTTCAAATAATTTTTATGTCTGTCAAATCATGCATATTGCATTTTTCATTTCTTGTTTCATTTGAGTCTTCTTTATAGTCTGGCTAAAAGATTTTTGAAATTTTGTTTAACTTTTCAAGAAAATCAACACTTCATTTGGTTAAAGTTTTCTATTGGTGCTCTATTTTATGTTTCTATTTATCTGTATCATTTTTCTCTTTGTGATATATTCATTTTATCATTGAGTTTAATTTTTTCTTTTTGTAGTTCCTTGAGGAATTGTTTTATTTAAAATCATTCTTCCTTTTGGTATCAGTATTTCTTGCTATAAACTTCACTCAGTACTGATTTTACTGCATCGTATAAGTATTTTCTGTATTGTTTTGGATTTAAGTTTGTCTAAAACTATTATCACTAATCTTTTCATTCACTTTTTAACCCAATAGTAACAGAGTGTGCCATTTGACTTTCCACATATCTGTGAATTTCCAATTTTTGATTATTATTGATTTTTAGTTTCATTTTATTGTGACCACTAGACATACTTGGTATAATTTCAATCTTAAATTTGTTATGTGTATTTCATGACCTAACACATGATCTGGAAAATTACTGTGTGTGCTTTAAAAGAATGTGCATTTTGGCAGTGGGTAGACTATTCATAATGTTATTCAACTCTTTTATTTTTCTACATATCCTGTCTGGATTTCTACCCATGATTTAAAATTGGTATTTATATTTCCAACTAGTGTGTTGTTGCTCTTTTATGTTTTGTCAATGTTTGCTTCATATATTTAAGTGCTCTGATGTTGAATGTGTCTGTGTTTTTAATTTTTATACCTTCTTGGTAAATCAACACTTTTTTCATTATATGATACTCTTCTTTGTACTGATGCTGGGTGATATTCCAATGTTCCTTCAGGCTTTTTTCATTCATTGTTTTTTTCTCTTTTATTCCTCCGAGTGAATAATTTCAGATGATCTTTTTTCCAATTAAAGATTATTTTTGTGTTCAGTTCTGCTACTGAACTCCCCTAGTGAACTTTTTGGTTATTTTTTTATTACATTAGTCAATTTCAAAATTTCTGCTTTGTTCTTATTATAGTTCACTGAAATTTTCATTTTGTTTACATGTCATTTTCTTAAGCTCCTTGAGTATCTTCATGATGGTTATTTAGAAATATTTGTCAGATAATTCATGTATCTCCAACTCCATGTGGTCCGTTTGGAGATTTATTTCATTGTTTTAATTGCATTACTTTCCCTGTTTGTGCCCCCCATAACTTTGTGTTGGTGTCTATGCACTTGAAAAAAAAAATTCACCAATCCCAGCCCTAGTGAACTCTGTACAGGAAATAATCTTCAATACTCACCAAAGAATCACACTCAAGAGTCCAGAGAGAACCTCCCATATCTGTCTTGTGTATGTGTCTCCTCTGGAATTGTGAGTGCAGATCACAAATAGAGTTTTCCCCCAACCTAAGTTCTAATAAGCTGCTGCTCCACATTAATGCCATTCTGCTATGCCAAAGATGTTCTATGCTCTTAAGCAGCAGCAGCACACCACTCAGCTCTTTCCGTAAAATCAGTGAGTGGTTCCTATTCATCTGGAGTTTCCCTGATAGAGCTACAAAACAGGCAAGACAAAAATCAGGTCAATGTTATGGTTTAGATCAAATGTGTCTCCCAAAAGACTACTGTGTTCAGAGGTGGGGGTTGCAGAAAGTGAGTAGATCATGGGATGCTAGTTCACAGCTGAATGTGCTAGCAGGATATGGGGCCTATTTAGAGGAAGTAGGCCACTCTGCAACATCCCCCTTTTTTTTCTCTCTGTAGATCTTTCTTTTTCTACTTCCTGGATGCCATTAGGTGAGCAACTTTCCTTCTACCATACCCCTCCACCATGATATTTCTTCTTCTTTTTTTTTTTTTGTACTGCGGATTGAACTCAGGACCTTGTGGTTGCAAGGCAGGCAGCAGAATCACTGAGCTAAATCCCCAGCTTCTATCACAATGTTTCTTACAACCAAATGATTGTGAGCTGAAACCTTCAAAATAATTAGCCAAAAATAAACTTTTTCTCCATTAAGTCATGTATCTCGGGTATTGTATCCCAGCAACAGAAGGTGCTTAGCATGGGTATCCCTCCACAACACTGGTACATCAGACGCACAATTCATGCTTTCTCTCTGATACTGGCTTCTGTCTGCTGAACCATGGATTACCTAGGGCAACCAAACACCACTGAGATCTTATTCCCTGAAGGCCTCAAGCTGAATGTGCTGAAGGATTTTATATCCATATATTTCTTTTTTTCTCTTTCCTTCCCCAGGGAGAAGCCAGGAACTGGGACTTTATTCACAAGCATGTGTCACTGTGCCAGCAGAAGAGCCTAATGATGAGAGAATGTCATGAATTTTCATACTGGCTTCTACATGACTGATTTGTGTTCACTCAAATCATAGAAGCCTCTGAATTGGTTTCAGAATTTCTCATGAAGTAATTGGTCCATAAATTGTTTAATTTGTATTTCTGTGGAGGAAGAAAGGAATGGGACTTCCAATTCCATCTTCTTATTGTTATCATTTTCAATCAAATTTCTTCTTTTGAAAATTGGATTACCAACAACTAGGTCATATTCCAAAACGTGTTTTTTCTTTCATTTTTTTTTCTCCTGTCATCTTTTAGTTCATATCTGGTTTCACAGATCTTCTATGATTTTATAAAAGATCTTCTATGGCTTGAAATGGAAGTCCATTTTTGTCTGCATTTACTATTTTCTAATTATTTAGTTATGCAAAATTTTTATTGTGCTTAATCTGGTAAATTTTGCTCATTTCCTGCAATTAGTTGTTTCTACAAACTAAGATTTTTATGCTTTGACAATGGCTTCAAAGATCATAAAATACTTCATAGATTTTTAAAAATAAATTTGAAAAGCTATTTCCATGTGTGTTAAGTATGCAAATATATGACTCTTTATAGGCAACATATGTACTCTATTCAGCAAAGAAAGTATTAGAAATAATATTTTTAAATTTCTGAAATCATTTTTAAAAATCTCATGCCATAGAATGAGTCTTTCAACACATTTTCCCCACTCATTAATTCAATCAAAATTTAGGAATAAGTTGGATATTAGATACATCTACAATGTCATTCAATTACATAGAAAACTTATGTCAAGGAGAACATATTTTCCCAAAGAATATGCATTTTGTTTTTAGCTAAGAAGAACACATTTTGAATATTTATAACAAAGGCACCCGCTGAGGTCACCAGACTCAGTCCACAGTGACATTGGTAAAGCTTTTTTACATTCTTATTTTGAACTTTAAACAAAATAAAAACATAAAAATGTCATAATAATTACTTCCAAAAACACTCAAGAAATACTTTTATCTTTATTTTGGAGAAACGTGATTGACTAATCTTGAGTATTTTTCCTGCAATTTAGTCAAGTGATGAGCTAATATTATATCTGAATGCTCTGATGTTTCAAAGAACTAAATTTGTTGATATGGGCCTTTTTAAATATTTCATTATAGTAAGTTAATAAGCCATAATTAGAAAAAAGCTCAGTAACATATCCCTGGACTTAAAGTAAGGGGAGCATTGAAAATGTTTAATTCTCTACATACTCAGTAGCACAGGTATGTTGAAATATTGCATGTATGTAGGAATCATGAAAATCACCATAATTCTCTTTTGTCATGGGTGGCTACTAAGGGCTTAGTGTGGGCTCATCTCTAGGAAGTCCCCTAGACTGTATCCTGTTCCCACAGGTATTGACACTGTTTATTTGCTCCTTGTTTCAAATTTAGTTTATATTTTCCACTGGGATTTGCCCTCTTCTCGACGCCACCATTTCACAGTTTTTGTTGTGCTTGAAATAAACTGCAAAATATTTCCTATCTTTTCTACAAAAAAATTAAAAATAATTGTAAAAAGAAAAATGAATAATAAAATGTGAATAAATAAAATTCTAACTTTGTTAAAAAGGAGCTTGACAATAAAAATAAAATGCACAGATTTAGAAAAACAGGTATTCAAAGAAGACCTACTATTCCCAGTTCCTTATATTTCTTATGTTGAATTATAGCTGCAAAGAATGTATTTTTAAAGTGTTTATTAAAGAAAAGAAAGCACAAAGCTTCAAGGAAGTAAATGCCTTAGGGACTAGAAGAGAAACAAATTAGAATGCTGCTTAGGTGTTTGGAGTATTTGCTCCAAGCATAAAACTTTTTTTTCCTAGAAATACTAAATAAATAAATAAAGGATGACTGATTTAAAATATAAAACCTCAGCTAGAAGGGAACTGAACCTCAACCCTGAAGTGAGGCCTCAAACACTTTGAATTTCTTCCAGGTTCATAGTAATTTCACCATAATAAAATAAGAATATTGTAGTCTGCCCTTAAAATCTGTAACTATAGTAGTATTCTTAATAGTATTCTCTGTTTTTATGAATCATTAGAACAAGTAATTATTCCAAGCTGATTTACAAATTTTGTTTGATCTTCATGAAATCTGACATAAAACACTGATTTAGTAAACCAAATTTCAGAAAATGAAAATGATTGCCTTCTTTCTCCTACAAAGATTCAGTGGTTCAGCATACTGGAGTCTATAATTTCAAAATAATCAAGACACTGTAGACAAAATAGATTTCAATAAGCTTGTGTTACTGCAGCTTAGTACAGAAATAAGTAGGAATTTCTATCTAGATTGACTCAAGCCGAAATCAATATTGGGAAAGTCTATAAGAGAAAAACAGACTAGCGATGCTATTCTCTGCATAAAACCAAGACATTATTGAAATAACAAAAAAAATGATTAAGATAGATAAGACAGACATAATAATGATACGTATACTATCTTATCATACAAAAAATGGAAGAGAGATAATGAAGTGGCAAACTTTCAAAAACATGAAAGCTTAAATGGCAACCATGAAGGCTTCCAAATTAAATATCTGCTTCTCGTTTTTCCCCTTGTCCCTGCCCTCCCTTCACCCACTCCTTCCCTCCCCATCTAGAAACACTTTATTTCCATCTCTTCATTATCTCACACTTTTTTCTTTTCACTTACTACCCTTCTAAGGCTGGAAATTCTAATTTTCTAATCTGCTAAACAAAGAAATACTAAAAGCAAGCTGTTCTTGCTGAGCACATTAAAATGAAGATGAGATCAAGTAAATATTTAGAGGAACATAAAACAGCCTAGCTATTGTATAGAAAGGTGCCAAATGTTAGTGGATATATAAAAAATGGTGAAAAGTTTCAACTTTCACATGAACTGTTCCATCTTCAAGGGAGCAGCTGAGAACAACCATAATGATATTTAAAGGAGAAAAAAAATCAAAAATCACTGCACAAAAGTGTCCAAAGTCACCACAGTGTGTCAAACAAATGAACCAAGGCTTTATTTGGGGTGCAAAAGAGCTACAATAACTATATTTCATAATAACATTTTCATAAAACTCAAAATGGAATGTTTTAGGGTTTTCAGGAAATCACAAAAGCATAAACTAGAGTGCTTTTAAATTTGTCTCAAAGTCACATATGAAAGGCAAACATTTCATGATAGTTTCCTTTTGTTTTTGTTTTTTTTTTTTTTTTTTGCTCCAAGTTGACTACTTTTCTCTAGGCAAAAATTTCACTGAGATGAATTTCATTATTGAGAACATCAAAAATCAACACTATATATATATACATATATATATAAAATTTTCATCTTACATTAAGAAAATTTTCTCATGTGTGACTGACAGATTACATACCCTTCATCACATGCTCGCTGGAATTCTGAGGAATGTGTTTCTATCTCAGTACAAAGACCCTGTTCCCAGAGAAGGATGTTAAAGGAAATAAGAAATCAGCATATCCAAAAGGAGGAGAGGAAGCTGGGGACCATGTTCTAAAAGCATTCCCTGAGGTCCTTGTGCCACAGCTCAGAACTTCAAGGCAAATGAAAGGCCAGTACTTGGGCTGCTTTCTGTCACAGTGCTCACAGAGTGTTTAGATCAAGGGGGTTCCACTGACCAGCAGGTGTTGAAATGTAGGTCATGGCTGGCAGTATTCCCAAAGTCATCCAGATGTCCTGCATACAGCTTTACATATCTGCATACAACTTATATACCATGTAACACAAAATTTAAAAATTGAAAACTAATACTTTTAGCATTAATAGCCCATCCAAATAAGTAGAGTATAAGAAAAAAGTATTTCAACAGAAATACTAAACAAATTTTAGCAAACTGAAGAAAAACATGAAAATAATAAATTATTTGTTGCAATCCAATAAGAGTTTAATTGCAACTTACTTTTGACATTTTGAATGGCAAGCTATAAATGATATTTAATAGCAGAGGGGGAAATCTCAACTGCAAAAAAAGCATTTAGTAGAGAACAACAGCTGTTCAGTTTTGTACATCTCTTTAAAATTAGTTACAG